TGTGGGTGATAAGCTGTCCCACTTGGTACATACACCCCCTGTCCTCCAAGCTGGTCAGGTTCACCACAGAAGCCTTTTTCCCAAATTCTGCTGCTTGAAGGGTAAAACCTGGCTACCAGTATTCTGGGATCCCAGTGGGGGAAGAAATCTGAGAGATCTGAATAAATAAACTATAATTCTTGTGTTTTCATCACTGTATGCCTGTTGAGTCCAAAAACCATCCTTTCGTATCCACTTCAGATAATCTCCAGTTTTTGCCAGGATGAGGGAGTTCAGTTGTCGAGCAGTAGGGAGAGGATCTGGGGGTTTAATGGCTTGTCAAACAGACTTGCAACTAATCTTCCTTTAGTCCCTTTTACATTTTTGGAGGTACCTGGACTGCCAGTTGCGGAGCATTTAGGGGCAGTTCTGTGGTGTGATTTGAACTAACCTCACTACTGACAGTATGTTCAGGTTTTTTTGGTCTGCTTAGTCATTTGTTCATAAACTACAGCTAAAAAATTTGTTGCTGTTGTCTCCTCTCCTGTTTGTCCTTAGGGTTTTTATGTTGTACCTCCCCCCTACCACTCCTTTTTGAAGTATTGCGCTTTAGTAGGATTTCAGAAGAGACTAGAAGTAATATGGTATGTTTTTAGCAGCTTTTATTAGTGTTTGGTTGGTTGGTGATGAAAGGATTGGGGGGGAAGGAGCAGGTAAATTACAAGTAGCTCACTCAGTACTCTAGAATTTGGACAACAGAGTATATAGGTGGTTTGCTAGTTTATTGTAGAATCAATCCTTGTTTACTAATGGGACAGTATTAGGTAACTGATCTCAATGCTTCATCAATTTTGTAGACCCTTGTTAAGAGCTACCTGTCCCACTTCTTTCAAGTAATTTATGAACTTTCTAAGTTTGCTTTCCTAATTCAGATTTTGATACCTTTTGGTTTACTAGATGCCTGCTACCAGGTGAGTTAATCTCTCTCTGGGGTTCTTGGTTTCTTTTATTTCTTTCCTAACATTTAATGTGTGTTGTAAGTCTTGTTACCACATTGCTCTTTCCACACTGGGATGGTGATTGCTTCACTGTTATTTGTTGGTCACAAGTGTTAGAACACAGTGTGGAACACCTGTCCAGGTGCCATTCATGCTGAGATAATTTTGAAAGGTAATGTTAACATTAGGATCCAATTATTAAGCCTTTATGTACTGTAGTCTTTGTGCTTATTGTTTTACTGCTTGGAAAGTTTTTTGAAGTTATCTTGTACTTCAAAAGTATCTTATGTTTAGGATGTTGAGATATTGGGAATTTTGAAAAACCACAACTCACTGTCCAGCACAATATTTGTGTTGATTCTGAAATGTATAATGAGTTTATTTGATTTGGGATTATACTATACTCAAACATAAAAATGTAGATGCTTGCATAACAAATACACTGACACATTTCAGCAAAGTAAATTTCTTTGGGAGCAGTTAATGGTGCAGTTTACCAGTGCTAGTATTTAAGGATGACCAAAAACTATTCATAAAATGGTGGGTTTCTTTTACTATCGAATTTTGACAAGGTTGAGATGGGTGCAGACTATCTTTACTTCGTGACTGGCCATATTTAGGAGTCTAGCTTGAAAATTGCCATGGGTAAAAATTATTCTAGCAAGATGTGCCAGTTGAGTTGGTTTAGCTTGTTAATTGCAGTCAGTTGCCTAGAATCTGGAAAATTGGGTATGGGTTGATTGTAATCTGGTTGGCATTTCAAAGAGGCCTGTAGGATGACAGAATTGTTTTGAGGTGTTTCCGGGGATTCTGTATTTCACACTAGAGCGAAACATGCTGTTTTAAGGATTGTTTTTACTGTTTTCTCTTGTAAAGACAAAGGTACATGTTTCATAAAACTTAGACCACTCTAGCATTTTAATCATGGACTCTTAAGTGTAGCTTTAAAGAAGAAAAACTTAAATCAGAAAAGACTTGGCATTCTAGTGGGTGTGTGAGATGGCAATGGGAAAAAAGAGGCAGGCAATGGGGGTGGTTGTAGGCTGGAAAAATGGTGAGTTTTTTTTTTATAGTTTTTCTACAGGCAGTACACTCATTGCCTGCATATTGTCCCCTTTGTTTTGTCACTGATGTCACTCATCCATTCCATTTTTAGCAGTTGGTAATCAGCAACTGCTTGAAATTGACATTTGCTGCTGTTTTGAGTTGGGCCAGTTAAATATTGCCCTGTTATCCTTATTATCTTAGGTTCTCAAGAAGGATATGTAATACCTGCAGCCTCAGGTAAAGGGACTATGTAACTTAAGGAAGGCAAAGCAGTGGGGTAATTACTAAGTGTTAATTTTCCCCAGTAAGTCCTATAAAGGTAGGTAGCTTTGGGGGACAGAAGCAAGTAAGGGCATGAATAAAGGACCTTACAAAGTTACAACTCAAAAAGGGTGAAATGCTTTATAGGAATTAGATGCTAAGTAAGCAAAGTGTTCCTTGTTTCAGTAATCCAAATCAGTTGTGGGAATTTAAAG